GGTTTCAGACGCCTGTAATTTAGTCTATCAACCCCTCTCCGATTGTGTTACAGATAGAAAGGCACAATATGAACATTTAGGGTAGTAAGATTGCATAAATCCTAAGACAAATAGATTTTCATTGCTTACGCTGAAATGCAGATAGATTTGATCTAGATTGCTGCGTGGTAGGATATTGCCAGAATGGGTAAACAGGAATGTAACAAATTTTACGTTTCTTGTCCGTGAATGGTTCCGTGGGTGAACTATATCAGATGGGGAAGGTAGCCGTCACAATAACTAGGAGATCGTTGGTTGTCGATCAGATGGCTGTTGATCTGTTCGCCGAGCTTGGCAATTGGCTTGCAAACGTTTCGTCACCATACGAGGAGACATCATCAGTGCGCAGTTGAGTGGGCACTTCTTCCTTGCCTGCGTGCCCTTATATAGCATTCGAAGGCTATCTGTTATCTTCTGACGTGATTGGCTACTTAAAGTGTAACAAATTTGGTGAATCTATTGGTCCATTTGTGATCTTTGTTGCGTTGTGGTCTGCGTTCCTTTGTGTCGATTGGTTATCCTCACGCCTTCTATTTTTAGTAGTTCGTTCTCTCCGGCCTCGGGTTGTATTGCGTTGTGGTCTGACGTTCTTGAGTTTGATTGGTTGCTTGTGCCGCCCTATTTCCTCCACCGTAGCGGTCAGCGTCCCTTCGTCCGTCGGTTGATTTGGTGCTTTGATTGGGCGCTTCCTCCAATCCAATTGATGTGTCCGTTTGAATGATGTTTTCCTCCTTCTCTTATGATTTCCTCGTCTGGTTGATTTTGCAGCTTTAAGCTCGGTGGTTCTGGAGTTCTCTCGCTCTTAGTGGCTGGTAAATGGGATCAATTTCGATGTGTTTGTTGATCGCCTCTTCGGTGGAGTACCATGCTTCCATAAATTCGCGTTCGTTTTTTGTTCTTGCTTGAGCCAATATGCAGACGCCGCTCCAGTCGAACTCGTGTCCTTCCTGATCTTTGTGTGCAGAGATGAGGGAGAACTGATCGTGCCTCTTGGTGGCGAGCTTGTGTTCATGTATTCTGGCTGAGAGCTTCCTTCCTGTTTGTCCTACATACCGTTTGTCGCAGTCCTTGCATTGGATCCTGTATATGACATTGTTCTTCGCCATTGGATCTAATTTCCCTTTTGGTCTTGATAGTGTCCTTAAATCAACAGCCACCTGATCAGCAACCGATAAACTCAACCGAGCTACCAATATTTCAACAAATTACGAACTAGTAGATCACTAATAGCCGCAAAGCTGTCGATGTAGCATGTCCGGTTCCTAATTTCCAGGTAAAATTTATCATAGAACACGTTTTGCGTGCATCTACAGATTACTTCAACCGGCCGGTGCATAAGTAATAATGAAGTCTGTAAGCAAAATTGTACGAAAGATTCGTGGATAGGAATACTCAAGACTTCTCATCCTTCCTGTTTGCTCCTGTTTGCCCAATAGGACTGAAATATCACATCGTTCCCTATTTTTCCTCTGAAAATCTTGCGTTTGCTCTCTGTTTTGTCCAAAGCACACCCTTAAAGCAGAAGGTTTCAGCGGATAATTAATGACTTGTTTTCATGGGATTCTTCGGTTATGTCGGCTGAACTTCTTAATGGCGCGCTGACTTATCAAGTATTTAATGGCTGCCATGAAGAGAAAGCAAGGCAGCAATGTGCATCAGTCTTTCTCGTGCCTGATGCTTGCAATAAAAATGTCTTTAGTTCACTTGGATTCAGGTGCGCTTGCTTGTACTTTTGCGTTTCTCTTCGTTGTATTCCGAATGATGAGATGATCAGGGCATCAGAATAAAATAATGAAAACCTGATACCATAGTAACCCTAGTAATGGAACTCAACGCCACCGTAAAACAGGTGGTGTAATACATCAGGATCATCATGACCATCAGTGTCTGTAACAAAACCTTAAGCATAGTTTTATCTTCCTGTAATGGTGCGAACTCAGAACAACTTCACTTTTCGTGTAATGCGTGGACACAAATTCGAACACAGACATTCAACGGTGAAACTAAACTAATTTTTGTGGCTCAGCAATGCTGACCATGCCGTTTTAAAACCTTCTCGCCGGGCTGCCGTGATATCGCACTTCTTTGTAAAATGCTGATGTATATCTGAGAGCATAAAAAAGAGAATAACGAACGTCCCGTCCACCAAGGAACGTTACAATTAATTCACTAGCCCGGTTACTGAAATGACGTAAGTAGTGTGCAGTTAATCTTTCATTGTCACGATAGTGGGATGCGGTCTTCGCAATTAGGAAGCTTCTTCCGAAAACGTAGTTGGAAAGGCTTCAAGCGTGCATCGTCAAATGTTATTCTTCTTTGATTTTCGGATTATTGAAAAGTAGGCTGATATGGTCCACAACTTAGCCTTTATGAACCTCAATGGCTATGCATGCCGTACCCACAAATTTTTAGTTCCCCAACAAATTAACACGAAAACACTGAAATTCCAGCGTAAACTAACAACCTACTTATCAATACCCCCATTATATTCACAAACTCTCGTATCCAACAGTCTTGTAATAAAATAGAAATTTTCTTCCCCTCTTTGGAAAGAACTATCTAACTGTGCATTTCGAGGGAATCGGTCTGTATTCGGTGGGGCCTATATTGAACGTAAAAATGATAACATTATATGAAACAGTTTTCATTCAATTCTGGTTGCGCCATTCACGTATCACGTTCACATTGAGCAGGGTTTGTGTGTTACTTGTACGCGATGGGACTATTATCTGGAAAGTTGGAGAACTACTGGCTTGCAAAAGATCCAGAAAATCCCCTATGAATGGAAAAAATGTGTTACGTCACCGACCTGTGAATTAAGATTTGTTCCTCAGGTTAGATGTACGCGGTCATATTTACACCTAGCAGTAAATTGAAAACTATAGGTTGGTTTATCCATAGATTCGTGGATTACGGAAGATGATACTTCGTTTTGTTTAAGGCAGGAATCACTGCAATACTTAAGGTTCATGGGACTGAAAAGCAAACTTAAAAACCCCAAATAAGCTGAAAAATTATTTGTACTGAAGTAAGCCAAATGCCTGATTTGATGTCTTGCCAGAGGAAAACACAAAAAATAACTCCCGCATCTTCACCTCTGCTGAAGGGATAAGAATTCCTCTGGGGTGCCTAGAACAGTGTTTGTTGGAAGAGAGTGGTCTGCAGAAGTGCATCAGTCTTACGACAAATACCACGGCAGCGAAGCACCGTGTTGAACTGAAAACTAATGTCATGCTGTTGGTGATGATTATGATGATGATGATGATCACAGACAAGTGTCCCCCAACAGAGAGGTCCCTTTAAATGGAGAGATCGCTGGGAGAATGCCACTGTATTTAGTCATCCGTTTTGACTTCTTTACCGAAAGTTGTGTTGGAGTTGTCACAAAATCTGCACGCACAAATTAGTCAAATCTAGACAGTGAATCATAAGAAGCGTGTTCCAGTCAACAATGTCAGCCAAATAGACGGTAGTTTCCCCTGTAATGCATCTGACCATACGTTAGCCTCTTAACATGAAGGAAGTGTAAAGCAGATATTTCCAACTGAAAAATGGGGCGGCCTCTGTGCAGCACATTCAGTTGAAGTATGTCATAAAAAAGAGATTCAGCTGAGTACCTCGTGAAGGCTAGATTGATATATGAATCGGTGCATTTGTCGAGTCAGTAACATTCGGGTTCCAGTGGAACGTGAGGTTAACGAAAAATCGGGAAACACGCCCACTTGATGAGTCCCCAGGAGGGCGAAACCGGTCGTGCGCTATCGAAGAGTTTTCAGAAACTTTGTAAGTATTTTCACTTGTGAAAACATACAGCGATATCTCCAACATCCTTCCAGCTGAAACATCAGGCGGTCTGTGTGCAGCATACTTGGTCGAATTCCATAATAATCGAAAGATTCAGCCGAGTCTCTAGAGATAACTGAACTGATATGCAAATGTGATTACTTTTAAAATAGAGCTCTGTATTTGGCAGTACGTATGCTATCCTTGAATATCACCGATACCTATTGCACATGTACCGCATGCTCGCACTGATGAATCTAACAAGTCAAATTTGGAGCGATGCGTGAGCTCACTCCAAATATTTCTGTGTTTGTGGCGTGTGTAAGTGTAGAACGTACCCACCTGCACTGCCCAACCTAAAGCCATGTTTACTGATTCTTGCAAAATGACAAGAACTGGCCTCGGGTAAGAAAGTTGGCCAGACTCGGTTATTCATCCCTGATCAATCTCAAATCAAAACTGACATATGAACATTGTTTCGTCTGTGAATTCAGTACAAGTTTTATCCGTCCAAAACTGAAAACGAAATGCTCATCTTCTTTGTATAAAATTTGCAACTTTTTCACATCGACTTTCGTGCATTTGCCATTGGCCTAGAGGAAGCTTTCAATCTTGTTATATGTACCATGACTCCAATCGACACAAGCTTACTGAAGATAAGCTATGCCAGATGACCGACTGTTAAAGTGATGGGTTCGTTTGTGCAGTGTAATCGACACTTTTGGGGCTTGTAATCTAGAGCTACAAAACTTGGGAAAGACAATTTATCCTGATGTCACCTGGTGTGCTCTTCAAATTCAGTGAAAATGGAGCGGAAGACTACTTAGAGACGTCCAAACCGTCTGCCTGAGGGCAGAATGCAAGAAGTAGTTACAGAAAAATGTAGCTTATCGATGGAAGTTAAGGTAAAAGGAACAGAGGATGTGTTTTGAAAGTGTAACATTTATCAAGAAAGAATTCAAAATGATACAGCGAATCAGGATATTCAAGACGAGCTTATATTTAAACTTAAAACTTTGAAAATTTCAATTATTGTGATGAGTGGATCCAATTATGTAGCTCGACTTTGACAAGATCAGTATGCGACTTGCCATTAGTTACATTAAAATGGCACTACGAGTCTTAATGGACGTGCAAATAAAATGGTTCGGTGAACCGTTTGTTTAGTACATCTTGATTCAGCTGACGATATGTGCGCGTCTTTGCTTCTCCTTGTCTTTGATGGCCTGCTTTTCCTCTTCTGAAAGGAATCCCATGTGTCGCTTCTTGACATTACATCTAAAGATAAAACAAAATGACGTAATTGGAGGTGCGTAGAAAAATGACATTAAGATGATGTTGTTCGATCGGCCGAACAAAAGGTACCAAATGAGCAGGTTGCTCAATGAACTGTATGCGGCGATGCCTTCAGTAATAAAAACAATCCTCGATGGTCCCTTTTTACTTCAAAGGCGAAATCCCATAAAGTGAATGGACGCTCTTTAAACAAGGATACTGGTGAACAAGTGGGATACTTTTTCCACCATTTCTGGAGTTATATTTATTCTCAATCACTAAAGAGACACCGATTCATTTGTATACTCTCGTTGTAGATCTTGATTACCTTACACGGATTAAAGAACGTCAGATTGGCTGTTACAAATGACCAGTTTTTGGCGTCTAATCAGTGTTCAAAGCCATTGGATTCCGCTGCTAATGAAGCAGAGGATAACTACAATTTATAAAACCCGTTAAAACGTACCAAAGCACTGTGTATGCACTATGTAACCACACAAATATACGGGAAGTTGGTTCGTGCGTTCGCGCGGGAACGGAAACGGGCTTCCGCTTTCGAGATTCACATCACCACCTTGTAGATGGATTTCTGTAGCAAGCCACACTTGTTTGGCATGTCTTACTTTCACACTGTGCCAAATGCTCCCTTTCTCTTTGCGCTGTCTTGGTGCAAGCCTCTGTTTGATGCCATACTGCAACAAGGTATCAGTGCAGTTGTAAGTATAAGAAAGCAGAAGCTGCATTGGTTAGCCTGGAAACTACTCCATGTGATTCGTGGCGTGGTGTTAGGTATTCAGATATCAACAATTCGCGGCTTGGTAAGCCACTAAAACAAGCCTATTGAAGATCTCTTAATTAGATGTCAAGTAACACAAACAGCACAATGTCGCATGGAAAGCTTGACTGTGCAGACTACCATGAAGTTACCCAAGGCCGGTGGACTCTGCTGCTTAGTGCAGCCACTCACGATGTCCGATTTCAGCTTGTGTCGTGAACGGGGTTTTCCCCTAGTCAGTTCATATCACACATCGTACTCACATCGTACTGGGTAGTATTTCCTTTTGATATAACACTCTGTGAAAGCAATGAGACGACACGAAGGCAAGACGCACAGCAGAATGAATGACAAAAGCCCTCAGCTCTGCGACTCTAAAAGGCGTCAACTGCGTCACTGACCATAGGTAAAAATGATGAATAAAGTGATCAACTAGATGTCTTCGACTTTTTTCGAACTCTCAAGGCGCCTTCTGAATTGTACATAGCAAACATCCATTTCTGACTAGTATCGTGACTTCCCAGTTAGTCTCTTGTTACAATATGCCGCAGCAAACCAAATAAGCAAGGTGTACAGCGATGAAATCAATGTGAGTCTTTTCGTTTCATAAAGTTGCGGTGATTTGTAACCATCTACTTTGTCGTCCTACCATGCTCATGCGTCTATTTGGTGAATCAATGCCCCAATTTTATTCATTCAAAGGGAGGATATTTGGCCTCAATTGGTACGTAACGCAAAATTATCCACCTAGTGTGCAGCACTGTGTACTAGTTTCTATACGGATAATGGTGACAGATCCGGAACAAAGTGGCAAAAACCCCCCGCCAACAAATGCACCAGCACTAGCGCTGATTGCTCGCCTATGTCAGTTTCAAAACTCCATTCCCAGTGGAAACTTTTACCTGGTTTTCTCCTTTCTGAAGTTCCTGCCCGCGAAAGCAATTCCAAAGGTATTGAAGTGCCCGAAGCGGTAAAATTCCATGGTCCCTGAGATTTGTGTCATACTTTAGATCTTGAATTGGCCAGTGGATATACGCTAAACAAAAGCTTCAACTGTAAACATGTGTACCATCTGTCGCCATTGATGTCATCCATGATCACCCTATGTATGGTAGGTTTCCCCATCAGTTTGCCCCTGTGTTTTCGCCATGCTCACTGGTCTCCTAGGTTCTCGAACACTTACGCGGCCAGAATCAACAGAACTACACGTTCCGTAGGAGACAGTCATGGAGATATCTGAAACCGAAAGCTGTGACCTCTTAAAATACTAGAGCATAAATTGGTAAAATGCTGCCAGTACATCACCCATCTAGAATCCACTTACAACACCCAGTGGAATGTGTTTTATACAGATAAACATCTCATTCTCCCATGACACTCGACACCAGGTGAATCCGGTATCCGAATGGCTTCATGATTTGAAACTCATTGATCACTGAATTTTACTCTGTTGGATAATTTTTCATGTAGTTTTAACCTGCAGTATGAAAGATAATTTGTTGTCAAATAATTCTGCTTTCGCTCCACTGGATTACTCAAGAACTCTATGATTTGCTGCGTTGAAATATTCCGTTTGTGAATCAGTTAGACATAAGCGATTTCTATATTGTTGACTTCAATCACAAGAAGCAAACTTTGAAAGCATATGGTCTCTGCTGCGTACTATGAGTTAGATTTAAGATCGACGCATTGTTAATCAGTCCACCAAATTGCTCTGATAAAGTGACAATGGAGCGAGAATCCTTTGTTTTTAGTCACACCACTCTCGTTTGAACAGTCGTCCTCCTGTTCTGGCGTAATAATTCCGGTGAGGCCACACCAAAAAGTAGCACTGAACTCGAGTTTCGCTCTGATTAAAGCTCATCCAATAGTCGTGCCGGGATTCGAACCCCGGATGTCTGACATGCGAGGCGAGTGTGCAACCACTACTCCACCAACACACTTTGGACGCATCTGAATTTTCATGTATGAACAGGTGAGCGTGTTCCCGTGTGCCCGACTCATCGAACGACGAAATATCCCTTGCTGTGCCTCAGGAATGGTCACCCGGACTGATTCAACACAAGATCACATGTTGCCAAACAAATTGAATGCAGAATATAGTCTGCCTAGTTGCGTGTTAATTACATTGGTGATCAGAAGTCTCAAGGGTCAAAGTGGTACTATTTTTTATGGATAACCTGGGGTTCTTTGGTTTCAGTCCCTTAGCAGTCTTACAGGATGTCTGCAGGCGATAATTTCCGACAAGGATAAAGCACTTTACATTCGCACTTACATGCATGCTTATAGAATAAGTTTATGTTCCCACACGGAATTCACAGTTGGGTGTATTTTTCCAAATGCGTCCAACTCAGGAAAAACTCCATCAGTATATCTCAAATCTTATGCAAAATTGAAAATGAGGTGGCTTTTGTAGCACATTAAAATTGCAGAATGTTGTGAATGGGACATTCATTTAAGTCTTTAATCAACATTGGAAATTACTTTGCAAATATGTTCACTTTGTCAGTCACACACATTTCGGAGTCCAGCTAGACGACAAGGTCAAGGGAAACTCGGGTCTATGCCCATCTTGTGGGCATTGAGACTGGAGGATACTGACCCATATAGGAAATTACTCGCAAGGTTGGTGAGAACTCTTCTACAGCCCACGACCGGTTTTGCCCTTCTTTGGGCTCATCATTCATTTGAAGATTATGATTAACGAGGAATTCAGTTGAGTCTCCAGTGAAAACCAACTTGAGAAGAAAAATGAGTGTATTTGTCGAACTCAATCCAATTCGGGTTCAAGAAGAACATAAGATTGACGGAAACTCGGGGACTGCGTCTACCTAATGAGCCCCAAGAAGGGCGAAACCGGTCGTCGGCTGTCGAGGAGTTTTCAGCAACCTTATGAGTAGTGCATTACACATACACTAGTATGGTTCTTTAGAAGCACACTTTCACAAGCCACTACAAAGATTCTTCTACTGTTGTTGGAATAAACGTTGAAAAAAGCCCGTAAATGAAAGAAACTGGGACATGAAGCCCAGCTAATGATTTCTAAGTCATTGACATTGACAACAGAGAAATGACGATAGCACAGTCGCTTTCTTAGTGTGAATGTATGATGTTAGTTACGCGATGCAGGACATAATTTGGGTGTATTTATGATTAGCGTAATTGATCATCGTGTCAGCTATTTCCATGCCAGTTCGAAAATTTGCAATCACCAAGAACAAGCGCATCTGGCCAGAGCCGGCGATTGGGCACGTGCTATTCTATTGAGGGTTGTAAACAATTCACCAATTCACCGTTCGTTCTAATCTCAGACACTGGTTTGTTTATCCACACGCAAACTGAGGTAACATCAATACGAAAGAGCCATCCTAAAGGACGGAGTGTTTATCTGAACACTCTAATCTGTATTCCAAATCCATAATGCTATCTGTTTGGCTGCATGTGTCGTCCACAGTTAGTTAGTTTTAAAATCCGATGTCACAAAGGACGTACATACAGTTTTTTTATTTCAAACTTCGGATTTCCACCAGCACTGCGTGCTTAATTGCAATCCAGTCAGCCAATAAGTTTCATCTCTATGAAGTAAGAAGCCGAGAAGACTGAATAGCCCAGTAGTATCTTAGATAAGTTTCCTTATTTGTGCCTGACGCCAACTGCAAGAAGGCAATGTTGGATGCACGATAGGGAAGCTATTTCTACTATACTGTGCACCGTCAGTGGTGAATGACTTGTACATTAAAGTATCTTTATCCTTTTGCCTGGTACTGAGATTGACAATGTGTGTGAGAAATCAACCGGTAAATACATATGGTGCACTTGAGGCAGACTTAGGGAAGAAGAAATACAAAACGTGCATACGAGCGCATCAAATGAGTGTACAAAACGCAAACGAATATGGTATGAAATACCGATTGTTAACAGAACGGTTAGCATAAAAGCCATCTATCAGGAAGGTCAGATTCCTGAATGTAACCTCAGAACGCCCAAAACCTATTGCTCCACCAAAATCTCAACAGAAAAGCCGGCAAGCATACAGGCCAGTCAGTCATTCAATCGATCTGCGTTCAGGCATGTCATAGAGGCCCGATCGATGTTGATGGGTGTTCACTAACGCCTACCAGACAGCTTGAGTCAGAAAGACCCCTTTAAATAGCATGGAGTCGTTGTAAGTTTTGCTCTCGCGCTCGCTTGTTCGGAATATAGCGGTTGTGTTCCCTTCTGTGAGTCTTTTTTCTCCAGCGCTAGGCACTGGAGCGGGTTAGCAGTAGATACCACAGATTGACGAATCAACATATATAACACCATCCATTTTGAGTTTACTGCCAAGCAGGGAACAACCAGTGAAGAGATGATTTCTATTCAAAATATTCATTTCTGAAACACCCTCTTGCCAAAGTGGATGGCTATCTAACAATGGAGGGGAAGCAACAAATCCAGGTTGTAATCTTGTTGTTACTCATGCGATTTGCTTGTAAGAGAGTGAATCTAGGTTCAAAGGTTAGTACTCTGGCGCTTGTTGCTAAGCATGTCTCCACACTGATATACAGCTGGTTGTTACCTGCTCAAATTTAGGACATGTTTACTGTCCTTTCCCAACCATACGTTCAGTCGACATCGTACTTGAAATCCTCTTCAGTGATTTCTTGTTCACAGAGTCTAAGGAACAGTTGTATCATTAACTGATTTTGCCCAATCTGGCCAGATGAACCATTTCAACCAAATAAATTCACCACATTCTGACCTACCTTTTGCTGTCCGATAGCATTTTGCGACGGAGTGGTAACAATGAGAAACACATAGAAATGTGGTCATATCCAGGAGGCCTCATTAGCACGTCTTTTGCTGCTCTCATTGAGACTCGTTTTAGGGGATCGGATGTAGGACACCTTGCTTATCAGTTCCAAACTATTTTCCATGAAGCTACGCATCCACCGACTGGCTTGTACAGTGAATTATGTAAATTTGTTTTAGTCGGCTAACCTTTGCTGACTAGGGTAAGGTGAGCTGAAAAGTCATAGTATTTAGCCGTCGCAGAATACCTAGAAGTGGCTAGGGTGTTGATTAGATCTCCGATTTGAAATCCCGTCCTATTCCGTACAAGTATTGGTCACACTTAGGCCGAATGTTTCAGCGTCAGTTGCAGATGCAGATGATCTTTTGTTGGCCGTTGTCTTTTGTAGTGACCAATGTGTTGTCTATCTTTTTAACATTGGAGTGAAATCTCATGTTGCAACTTCCCTCGAGTTGTTTCAAATTGTGTACTCGACACTGAATCAAAACCGAGCGCGTTGGAGGTTTATTTAAGAACACTCCTGATCCCAACTCGACTTGTCTATAAAAAAATCCACTCTAAGATCCATGCTGATGGCAGTTCATTCATAATGATGGTGTCTGCTGGACGGGAGCTGAGATTGGATCTTCCCCACTTGTAACGCTATTTTATCTCACTAGCGTACGCATCCCGCCAAATAGCAAACTTAGTTTTGACAAAAATACATGCAAAGTTGACATTCCATTTTGATTAACAAAAAGACAGAAAAGTAATGAAAGTTCCAAATCAATTTAGCCCTGGTAGATGACTCTCCATCCCCGTGTCCGATTTCTCACAAGTTGTGCAACAATGTGACAGCACATCGCTTTGTCGTTGAGTTAAAAAGAAAGTTGACCTGACACTTGAATCTTTTCACAACACGGTTTTTTTCATGACGAACACTGGAAATCTGAGATTCTCAACCTAGCGGTTGATGTCCTTTCGATCAGAAGGAACTTCTATGTGTAAGCACTTATTCCAGTAGAACCTGTGATACGTGGAAGGACCACTTCCGGGAACAGAATTTGAACTGTTAGATGTTCTAGTAGGCGGCGTTCCGCATAACACCACACTCAAGAGCATGAGATTTTTCCCTCAGACTTTCTGGTGTCTTTATATTAACTCTTGGAAGTCAAGTGAAATTTAAAGAGCTTTATGACTCTGAAGGTTACGCTTCCAAAAAAATTTCAAAG